TGAACACTCCATGGTCTCTTATTCTCTGCACGTTGACCAGTTGGGGATCTCTGTGTTAATCAGCATCTATTGCTAGAAGACACTTCTCTGGTGAGAGTTGAGAGATGTACTGATCTATGGATATAAAAATAAGTTGTAATAGATGAAACTACAGAAAAGCATAAAGGAGACATAACAATAACAAAATGTCCATAGTAATATCCATTCTTTACACTGTGGGTGGGAATGTAAATTAGTCCAACTGCTACAGAAATCAGTATGGCTGTTCCTCTGATTTAAAACTAGTACTAGCACATGATTCAGTTAGACCATTCTTAGGTACATACACAAACAAATTAAAACATACTGCAGAGATACTTACACATTATTCTCAATAGCCAAATAATGGATCCAGCCTTATTGGCCATCTATGTGCATGAATAGGTACTCAGTCATAAAGAAAAAGAAAATTATAGCTTTTTCAGGAAATTAATGGAAATAAGTTTCATGATAAGTGGAATAAGCTAGACTCAGACAACCACTGCACATTTTCTCTCACTTGAGGGATCTACTAAAGTAGCACAGGGACTATTTAAGGAAGGAGGGAGGAGAATTTGAGAGCTAACGGGATCAACATGCCTGAAGCACATTGTACATATGTGTGAACATGTCATAGGAAAGCCATTATTTCATACAAATACAAAATGCAAAGAAAAAGGAAAAAATACCCTACTGTCCTTTCTTTAACTGAACAACCATTGATCTTTATTGGATTTGACAAAAATATGGAACGCTTCACGAATTTGCATGTCCTCCCTGTGTAGGGGCCGGGCTAGTCTTCTCTGCATCGCTCCAATCTTAGTATATGTGCTGCCGAAGCGAGCACCCTACTGTCTTTTTTTAAGATGTGATTTCACATGCTTTTCACATGGTACATAGAATTTTTGCCCTGACTTTTTCATTCACAATTAAAATTAAATATGCATCCTTAATATAAACAGCATCATAGATATATTAATGGCTGCATTAAATGCTGTTTTAGAGGTATTCCATCTTTTACATAGAAGTTTGTCTGTTGTTGAATACCTGGAGCACTTTAATTTATTGAAATATTAGAAGCACTCTGTGACAGAAGGAACAATAAAGACAAGGGTTTATTTAGTTCTTTCTCTGAAAGGGGATTTAATCTGTTCACAGGATACAGTAGAGGAGACATGCTTGGTAACAAGCATGTCCCAAATTGAGGGACCAACCTTCCCAAACTCTCCAGAAATGACCACAAACACAAGATTTAGGGTGAGAAGAGGAGGGCCTGCCAGAGACAGTGCTGCTGTTACTCAGCAGAGAGCTGGTGCTAGACTGACCCATTTTCTGAGGATGTTTGGAACATTATCTTCTGGATGTGTGCCCTTCACTCACTCTTTTAATGAAACCCAGCTGCTCCTAATCCTTAGAGAGTGGCTGTAGGCATCTTCCTAACTAACCTCCTGAGATTCCTTTAAAGTAAAATCAAAACTCGGGCTTCCCTTAATTGATCTGAAGTAAAGTTGCCCATGGAGATTTCCACATTTGCAACCTCTGGGAATGTCTAAGTAGAAAATGCTAATGAGGCCCTGAGAGCCTTAGCTTGCATCCACCTTTCCTCCCCAGCAGGTCTACTCCCACAGACACCAGCGAAGCAGGAAGGACAAGAGGCCCAAACTAGGGAGAGATTGGCTGAGATCCAAGAGCCTCCTCAGACTATGCTCAACGTTATTATCTGGCTTCTCTGGGAAGAAAAGTTTGGAAGTTCAAAGTCATTTCTGATGACCTAACTAGCAGGTTCCAGGCAATGCCCTGTGTTATAATTCATCAAGGGAACAGCAAGTACTTATTTGAGATTGTTAAATCTGGAAAAAGATTGAGTCATCTGTATCTTTCCTCAGTCTATTCCAGAAAGTTCAGTATGGCAGGCTCATAC